AAAGCGAACAGCAGCTTGATGATGAGATACTGATATGCAAGATGAACGTTCAAAAAAAAAAAAAAAAAAAAAATTTGTATGATTCTATTGGTACGATATTCAAAAACGAATTATCTTTTTTCCCTAACATACAAGGTCCGAATAGTGGCTGCCCTGTAGAGGGGAGCAGTGGTGTTATCTTAATCTGGGTATTAACTTACATGAATTTACATATGTAAAAATTCATCCAGTTATACACTTCAGAGTACACTTTACTGGTGTTAAAACTGCATCTCAGGGCCGGGCGCGGTGGCTCAAGCCTGTAATCCCAGCACTTTGGGAGGCCGAGACGGGCGGATCACGAGGTCAGGAGATCGAGACCATCCTGGCTAACACAGTGAAACCCCGTCTCTACTAAAAATACAAAAACTTAGCCGGGCGAGGTGGCGGCGCCTGTAGTCCCAGCTACTCGGGAGGCTGAGGCAGGAGAATGGCGTAAACCCGGGAGGCGGAGCTTGCAGTGAGCTGAGATCCGGCCACTGCACTCCAGCCTGGGTGACAGAGCGAGACTCCATCTCAAAAAAAACAAATAAAACAAAAAACAAAAAAAAAACTGCATCTCAGTTAAAGAACTAAGTTTTTAAAAGGAAAAAAGTATATAAAAGAGAAAGAAAAAATTAACACAATATATATAGTTGGTAATTTGGGAAGGTGGGAACATATTAATTATATTATTTCTTTGTATCTTTCTATGTTTGAACAATTTCTCAATTCCTTACAGGAAAAGGAAATTTGGACATAGATTCATACAGAGAAAGATGACGTGAGGACAGACATCTAAGCCATGGAACAAGGTCCTTCCCTCACAGCTCTCAGAAGGAACCAAACCTGTTGACATCTTTTTTTCCTTTTTTGAGACGGAGTCTCGCTTTGTCGCCCAGGCTGGAGTATAGTAGCATGATCTCAGCTCACTGCAACCTCCGCCTCCCAGGTTCAAGCAATTCTCCCGCCTCAGCCTCCCGAGTAGCTGGGATTACAGGCGCCTGCCACTACACCCAGCTAACTTTTATATTTTTAGTAGAGACAGGGTTTCACCATGTTGGCCAGGCTGGTCTTGAACTCCTGACTTGAAGTGATCTGCTCGCCTTGGCCTCCCAAAGTGCTGGGATTACAGGCGTGAGCCACTGCCCCCAGCCCCTGTTGACATCTTGATCTCAGACTTCTGGCCTCCAGAATGGTGGGAAAATAAATTGCTGTTTAATCTACCCAGTCTGTGATTCTTTATTATGGCAGCCCTAGCAAACTAATACCCCTAGTCTGGCTCTAACCTTTATCTCCCTCCCCTCTCTTATTATTCCCTAAGAGGAAGTCCAAATTGCAATGGGCAAAAATTATTACTGGACCTTGCATGCCTTGTTTAGCCCACTCTCAAAATGCAGTAATCTCCTGTACTGCAACAATGAAAACCTTACCCATTGTTCAGGACAAAAATCCTTTTAAACTCTCCACCTCTGATCAACAGAGCCTACACCATCAATCTGTCCTTTCTTTGACAATCTGTCTACCTGAACCTCTGTTTCTGTTACCTGAAAAACTGTATTAATAAAAAAACTGAAAAACTGTATTAATAAAAGCCCGAGTTTGGCACTAAGCCCTCTACTTCCACCGAGGGAAAAGCAGAAGCAATATACTGCATTTATTTCAAGGCTGTTATTAGAAAGATTTGCACTGACACTTACGTGAAGACCAACAAAGACATTTTTCCTGACTTTGATAACTTTAGATTCCATGAGGAATCAGCCTGGTTTAAGCTTCTCATCAATGCAAATCTGTAAACAAATATTGTCTGTCTGACTCTCTGCCATGGCTATCAGAAAGAATGAAAACTGCAGTTCCATTTTGGAAAATCTGTAACATCAGGAGACCTGCATCTTTCCACATGCCAATTCTGCTGTGCTACTGCCCTGCTTTTCTATACATTCCTGGAATGATTTTGATCCATTTCTACATTTCCGTATTAATATGTGGACCCTTAAACATCTATGAATTCCATGATGAAAAAGGTGTTAGCAAATAACTCACCTGAGATATGTTCATTTTCTGCTGCTCCTGAAAGAGTGTGGAGAACCGTAAAGGATAACCTGGGGGTGAGGAAGGAGTCATGAGATATCTGGGCAGCCTCTATCTTACCTGCCTACCAATGTCATCACACGAGGTGGGGAAAAAGACCTCTCTACAAAACATGTTCCTTTGACCCTTGAGAAGGGACAGGAAGCACTACAGAGAAAGCACCTCCTGAATATGTGCATCTTTAATATGATCATGTGGATGAACCCTTGCTGATTTTTCTTTTTTTTTTTTGAGACAGGATCTGGCTCTGTTGCCCAGGCTGGAGTGCAGTGGTGTGATCTCAGCTCACTGCAACTTCTGCCACCCGGGTTCATGCGATTCTCCCATCTCAGCCTCCTGAGTGGCTGGGACCAAAGGCACCCACCAATACGCCTGGCTAATTTTTGTATTTTTTGTAGAGACGGGGTTTTGCCATGTAGCTTAGGCTGGTCTCGAACTCCTGACCTAAAGCAGCCTGCCCACCTTGGCCTCCCAAAATGCTGGGATTGCAGGGGTGAGCCACCACGCCTGGCCCCTTGCTGTTTTTCATCAGGTGATTGTAGATTATTTTCCTATTGATTTATTTAAAACGTATGTCTTCTTTGACAAAAAACTAAAACAGAATTAACATTAATATTCTGTTAATATTATTTACACCAATAGAAAACACAAAACTGAAAAAAAGGAGATGCTGAAAGACAGACTATTTTAAAATCTTTCTGTTCTAACTTATAGTTTCTCAAAAAGACTTTCGATAAGACACTTCTGGTGACTCACCTGTGACAGAGCAAACAGCACTGTGCTTTGCTCCAAGCTCTGTCCTGAGTGACCATGGACAAACTGTTCATCCCAGGTTCAACACTTCTTAAGGTTTTAAAAGAGTCAGAAATAGAAATCCTTTCCTGTATTATCATTTTTGTGATTCTACAGGTTCAGGATACAGGCAACCTTAGAAAATCTCTAGATGCTACATGTGATAGATGTTGTGTGAAACTGACTCAGAATCTGGAAAGAGTGAGGCTAGAATGAAGAAAATGGGGGCTGTAGGAGGAGGATTAGAGACAGAATTTCCTCAGCCCTGGCTGGTTATGCCTTCCTTGCAGACCATGGAGAAAAGCCCTCCAATAATGTGGCTTTTCCTGTGCAGTCTGACAGTCACCCATCCCTCCCAACCCCAGCTTACCACCTTCTGCAAGTTGGCCCACAGTATCCAGTGTCACGCAATCTGTGATGGCTTCTGGATGTGGCGACATCACCAAGTCTGGAGCTTTCTGGGCAAGGGGATAAAGAACTGCTGCCGGTTGGGCAAATCAAGACCTGCTCCTCTCTCGGTTCTTCTGCATCTGTTCGGAAGCCCTTGTGATGAGGTCTCTGTTCTGTCAAAGGGCAGTTCTTTGGTGGGACTCCTGTTCCTGGGGCTCCCTCCTTCCTGCAACATAAAGAACTGCTTTGTTCCAGAGAAGCTGGGGCTGAGGCCTGGGTAACGAATTCATTTTAGTTGAAACTTTCATGGAAAGCAGTGTTCTTCACCTCAGCACAACTTACATTTTGGGTTGGATAATTCTCTGACATAAGGAGCGGTCCTGTGCATTTTAGGATGTTTAGGAGCATTTCTAAACATGCACTAGACATTAGGACACCCCTTCTCCCTGTTGTGACAATCAAAAATGTCTCCAGGCTGGGCGTGGTGGCTCACGCCTGTAATCCCAGCACTATGGGAGGCCAAGGCGGGTGGTTCACCTGGGTTCAGGAGTTCAAGACAAGCCTGGCCAACATGGTGAAACCCCACCTCTACTAAAAATACAAAAAAATTAGCTGGGCATGGTGGTGCATGCTTGTAATTCCAGCTGAGATTACAAGCTGGGAGGCTGGGGCAGGAGAATCACTTGAACCCGGGAGGTGGAGGTTGCTGTGAGCTGAGATCACACCACTGCACTGCAGCCTGGGCCAGAGAGCGAAACTCAGTCCCCCGCTATCCCCCGCCAAAAAGTCTCCTGACATTTCCAAAGTTCCCTGGGGAGCAAAATCCTCTTGGTGAATAACTGACCTATAAGGCCTTAAACCGGATTCTCTTGGCATTCATTAGAACCCTGCTATCCATGACTACAGCCTCCAATCACATCAACTACTGAGCACTTGAAATGTGGCTAGGGCCACACGTCCAAATAACATTTTGGATACATTGAGAAAACCACAGTAGGTTCTTAAAATTAATTTCATGTTTTAGATTTTCATGTAGCTACTAATTTAGCATTTAAAATGACACATGTGACTCATCTTCACTGCCCTAGAATATCAGACTGACTTCCAAAGACAGACACAGCAGGGACCGCACAGGAGGTGGCAGAAGCCTCAGTCTAACCCAGAGGCTCTGGAGACATCCCAGAAACCCCGTAATAAATACACTTGCCACATAGTAGGATTCTGTCCACGCTGACCTCACAATCATTGTCCTGGGGTTTTGGGGACAAGTCACTCACCTAATGCTGTGAAGGCTGCAATGCTGGGTTAGGTAGGTGGGTCACTACAAACAGCCTGATTCGGGGAGTAAAGTGTATATGTGTTGACATCCTAGTTCCCTCATCCTTTGTGAGCCTGGCTCTGCCATTTCACCCCTCCTTCATTTTTAATGATATAAATAGTGTGGTTGTGAGAATTAAATGAAATACTACATGGAAAGAACGAAGTGTCTTCCAAATATAACGGGAATCAACATTTACATGCTGCTTAGTAACTAGCGCTGAGCTAAATGCTTTACGGCTGATGGTTTATCTCTGAACGACACAAAGCAGTTTTTACTAATATCCTCATTTTCAAACGCTCCAGTGACAAAGCCAAAGTTCACCAGGTCCTTCTAGCTCCTAGGCTCGGGCTCTCACCGCAGACCCAGGGACCATACGCGCTTTGTGGCAGGTTCAGGGTCAATACAATAAATCCATTTTCCTCCTGCAGCCAGCGCCTCGTTTTCCGACGCCTGGCTGCATTCTGGCACCCACACCTCGGCCCGCACCGAGCATCATCCAACAAGGACCCAGCCCCACCTAAAGTCCCCGGAGCCCTCCCCCACCGGCCCTTCTCAGGCTGGGGTCCCGGGCCGCCCCGGGCACAGGGAGCGGAGGGCCAGCTTTTGGGGAGTTCCCGGACATCGCGTTCCCGCCCCCTGGACACTAGCCCATCCCTGCCTGCAGGTCCGCAATCCGTGCGGAGGGCCGGCGCTCTCACCTGAGTTGCGAACCCTCCGCACCCGCAAACAAGGAGAGGTGGAAACCGGAAAGTGAGGCGACTGCACAGGCGCAGACGAAAACGCAGGATATCCGTTCCCAGCATGCTGCGCGGTAACCCCTAACCTAAGTTTGACAGGAAGTACGGCGCCAGCTCTCGGTGTTTTTTGTTTTTGTTTTTCCCCCGAGATTTAAAGAGAAATAACATGGACGGTCCTGATAACTGGAGCCCGGGTTCTGTCAGAGCCCCAGAGGTTGTGTGTTAGACTTGAGGACATAACAGCAAATGCAGCGTGTGGTTGCAGAAAGCGAGAGCTGCGGAAGACGTTTGAAAACAATTGGAAAATTTGTATACGGACTGGAAATTAGAATTGTGGCAACATTAGGATTACGTAGGTAATCTTGCTTATTCATAAAGAGATGTATATTTAAGTGTTTAGGATTGTATTATGCTTGTAAGTTTTTGGTTTTTTTTTTTTTTTTTGAGACGGAGTCTCGCTCTGTCGCCAGGCTGGAGTGCAGTGGCGCGATCTCGGCTCACTGCAACCTCCGCCTCCCGGGTTCGAGCGATTCCCCTGCCTCAGCCTCCCAAGTAGCTGGGACTACAGGCGCCGCCACCACACCCAGCTGATTTTTGTATTTTTAGTAGAGACGGGGTTTCACCATGTTAGCCAGGCTGGTCTCGAACAACAGACCTCAAGTGATCCGCCTGCCTCGGCCTCCCAAAGTGCTGGGTATACAGGCGTGACCTACCCGCCCAGCCCGTTTGTAAGTTCTTTTAAAAAAATAATTAGAATCAAGACCATCCTGGCTAACACGGTGAAACCCCGTCTCTACTAAAAACATACAAAAAACTAGATGGGCGAGGTGGCGGCGCCTGTAGTCCTGGCTGCTCGGGAGGCTGAGGCAGGAAAATGGCGTGAAAACCCGGGAGGCAGAGCTTGCAGTGAGCTGAGATCCGGCCACTACACTCCAGCCTGGGCAACAGAGTGAGACTCCGTCTCAAAAAAAAAAAAACATTAGAAATGGCAAGTATGGCAAAATGTTAAGAACATCTACTTATAGATTATGGACATGCTTATTGACTACTTGCTCTTTATGTGTTGGAAAATTTTGTAATATAAAGTTTATAAAGGGAAAAATTTGGACTGTCATGTTACAAGTGTGCCTTTCAGAGCTGCCACAAAAATATATAAACAGTTTGGCGAATAAAGCTGTAAAATGTAACAAATACTAGAAAATGGAATCCATTATTAACATAAAAGAATAATATTTGTGATCCTCAGAGTTTATCTCTGGGGGAAAAAAAAGAAAAAGCAAGTAAGCTGTTCAGTATTACATAATGCCTGAAGTACACACAATCCCAAATAAGAAAACCATTATCCACAAATTATGCATCTCTTAGAGATGAGTTTGCTTAAACTTTATGTAGTATGCTTCTGAAATCAGGAACAAAATTAGAAACCTCTCAGAACAGTATTTTATGACATTCTTTTTAGTAACACACATACACTCGCACAGTTGATACTAACAGGTTATTTTATATAGCAATGATAAGAATAAGTTCTGATTAGCAAGAAAAAAGATTAATGGTAACAGTAAACTAGTGCAGTATATATGAATCAAGGTATAAAACTTTACTGTTGACACTGAAAAACACTTTAATAGATACTGGAGGAAAAGAGTAACATTTGTTTTTAAAAATTCTAATTATCCAGGTTTTCTAAGTATATCTTTTTCTTTTTCTATTTTATTTCATTTTTTTTTGAGACAGTCTCGCTCTGTGGCCCAGGCTGGAGTACAGTGGTGAGATCTAGGCTCACTGCAAGCTCCGCCTCCCGGGTTCACGCCATTCTCCTGCCTCAGCCTCCCGAGTAGCTGGGACTACAGGCGCCAGCCACCATGCCCGGCTAATTTTTTTGTATTTTTAGTATAGACGGGGTTTCACCGTGTTAACCAGGATGGTCTTGATCTGCTGACCTCGTGATCCGCCAAACTGGGAGACATCCCCCACTAGGTGCAGACCAACACCTCACACCTCACACAGCAGGGTACACCCCTGAGACGAAGCTTCCAGAGCAAGAATCAGACAGCAACACTCGCTGTTCAGCAATATTCTATCTTCTGCAGCCTTTGTGCATTGAATTATGAAATTCTTGTAGTGTGTTTGCCAGCTCTATCAAGTCAGTTATGTTCTTTTCTATAATGGCCATTTTGCCTGTCAACTCCTGCACTGTTGTATTGTGAATCTTAGCTTCGGCTTCCTGAGATGGAGTTTCATCGTTCTCCTGAATGATCTTCATTCCTATCCATATTCCAAATTCTATTTCTGTCATTTCAGTCATTTAAGCCTGGTTAAAAACCATGATCGAGAACTAATGCAGTCATTAGGAGGAAAGAAGATACTCTTTGGCTTTTTGAGTTGTCAGAGTTCTTGCACTAGTTCCTTCTCATCTTCGTGGGCTGATGTTCTTTCAGTCTTCTAAGTTGTTGTCTTTTAGATTTTTTTCTTTTTTATATTATACTTTAAGTTCTAGGGTACATGGGCACAACGTGCAGGTTTGTTACATATGTATACATGCGCCATGTTGGTTTGCTGTACCCATTAATTTGTTATTTACATTAGGTATTTATCTTAATACTATCCCTCCCCCAGCCCCCTACCCCACCACAGGCCCCAGTGTGTGATGTTCCCCACCCTGTGTCCAAGTGTTCTCATTGTTCAATTCCCACCTATGAGTGAGAACATGCCTATTTGATGACCTTAGGGGTTTGATTTTGGCATAAGGTGGGTTGAGTTGACTGGCTTTGTTACTGGAAAATTTTAGGGGACAAGACTCACCTCAGGACTCCTGGACTGCATGCTCTAACTCTGGGGGACTTATATCAGGCCCTAGCTTTGTTCTGTGGCTCCTTGACATTTGGAACCTGCTGCGCTGGAGGGGCTGAGGTACTCCCAGACGACAGGTCACAATACTCTGATGGGAGGTCCCAGCCAAAGCACTTCGTAGGGTGGTGGCAGCAGGATCCATCCTCATTTGCATGTGCTAGCAGCAGTGGCAGTGACAGCACAGTGTGGTCCATGCTCATCAGCTGCAGCATGGTGCCAGCGGGTGCCAGTTTGCGAGCGTCTCTGTGGACAATCACAGAAGTGGTCATGGTAGTATGGTGTGGGGGTAGGGTGGAGGCCCCTGCCAGCAATTGTGTGCACATTCATGCCAGTTGTGGTGTTAGCACAGGGGTGGGATGCTGATGAGCACAGGACTGTGTGCGCCCTCTGTGTATATTCATGCTGGTGGTGATGGCCACTCAAGGTGGGTGTATTAGTCTGTTCTCATGCTGCTATAAAGAACTGCCTGAATATTGGGTAATTATTAAAGGAAAGAGGTTTTTTTTGTTGTTTTTTTTTTTTTTTTGAGACGGAGTCTCGCTCTGTCACCCAGGCTGGAGTGCAGTGGCCGGATCTCGGCTCACTACAAGCTCCGCCTCCCGGGTTTACGCCATTCTCCTGCCTCAGCCTCCCGAGTAGCTGGGACTACAGGCGCCCGCCACCTCGCCCGGCTAGTTTTTTTGTATTTTTTAGTAGAGACGGGGTTTCACCGTGTTAGCCAGGATGGTCTCGATCTCCTGACCTCGTGATCCGCCCGTCTCGGCCTCCCAAAGTGCTGGGATTACAGGCTTGAGCCACTGCGCCCGGCCGGAAAGAGGTTTAACTGACTCACAGTTCAGCATGGCTTGGGAGGCCTCAGGAAACTTACAGTTATGATGGAAGGGGAAGCAAACACGTTCTTCTTTACATGACAGCAGGAAGGAGAAGTGCCAAGCAAAGGGGGAAAAGCCCCTTATAAAACTATCAGATATCATGAGAACTCATTCACTATCACAGGAACAGCATGGGGATAACTGCCTCCATTATTCAGTTACCTCCAACTCGGTCCCTCCCATGACACAGAAGGAGGAGGAGCCACATACTTTTAAACAACTAGATCTTGTGTGAACTCAGAGTAAGAACTCACTTATCACCAAGGGGATGGTGCTACAGCATTCATGAGTAATGTACCCATATGATCCAATCACCTCCCCCTCCAGGCCCCACCTCCAACATGGGGAATCACGTCACAACATGAGATTTATTTTATTTTTTTCTTGCTTATTATTCTTTTTACAACATGAGATTTAGAGGAGACAGACATCTTGAGCATATCACAAGGTATGCCAATAACATCATCAGCAGAAATTTTGGAGGCCAGAAGGCAGTGAGTTGGTATGTTCAAAATGCTGAAGAAAAAAAAAAAAAAACTCAACCAAGAATCCTATATCTGGATGGAGATATGACAGAAAGATGAATGACTGGATGTTCCTGGTGCTTTTCCCGAAGAGGGAGCTGCAGCTGCACCCTTTCTCCATGGCCTGAGCCGTTATGGTGCCATGACATCTTAGAACTGGAGCCACTGCTGCTCTGTGCTCTACTTCAGGGACCTTAGAAGACATTGTGCCCTTCATTCCCGGGGCTTGCTGCCACTGCACCCCATACCCCCAGAGCCTGGGTTGCACAGTGATGCACCATTTTTAAGCTGAGTTGCTGCTGTACCCCACTCCCTGGGGCGAGACTACTACAAAGCTGCTCCGTCCTCCTGGGTCCCAGTTGCTGCTGTGTCTGGCCTTTCTGGGCATGAGTGGAGTCAATGCCTTGCTGGGAATCAGAACTGTGGCTAAGTGATGCAGCTCCACTTCCTGGGGCTGAGCTGACACAGTGCCCCACCTCTTTGGAAACTGTAGCTGTGGCTATGCTGTGCAGCCCCACCTCCTGAGGCTGAAGTGTCATGGTACCCCGTGACTACCCAGAAACCAGAACCTCAGATGAGCTGTGCAGCCCCCGCTCCCCAGAAACCAAAACTGCAGTTGTGTTTTGTGATGGCTCCCTAGGAACTAGAATCGCTTCTTGCAATCTAAGCTGCTGAGGTGCTCCACATGGGGAATGGAGTCATCTTTGTGGCACCTGCCTCTTGGGGCATGAACTATAGCTGTGCCCTGCCACTCCTGGGTACTTGCCGCCACTGTAGCCTGTCTACCAGAGCCTGGGCTACTATGATGTTCCACCATCCCAAGATTTGGAGTCACCATTGTGTGGTGTCCTGTTCCCTGGGGCCTGACTTGCTGCTGCACTCTGATGCTCCTATGACCTAAATTGATTTTCTGCCCCACACTCTGGGGCCTGAGCCTCTAAAGCACCTGTTCATTCCCTGAGCCATGTCATTACTGCACTCTGCCACCCAAAGTCAAAGTCAGAGCTCATAAACAATTAGAAAACAAAATACAAAATGGCAGCAGTGTATCTTCACCTGTCCATAATAACCTTGAATGTAAATGGACTAAATTCACCAGTCGAAGGACAT